ATTGCTAAAGTATGGATTAACAAATTCGAATCAATGTCAATTTGGCGCTGGATATAGTAGCTTTAATAAAAAGCATAGAAATCGTTATAGATAGATTTTACAAATATTTCTTAGTTGTAGTCACCGTATTCTATTATTCATAAAATTCCCTTCTAAGCAAACCAGCCTCACAAAGTCACTGGCAATATCAATTCTAACAAAAAATGATCACCGAATACATTTGATAGCAATAATTAGACAGATAGATTAGATAGAAAACAAGCACTATTGTGTTGCTAAAGTATGGATTAACAAATTCAAATCAATGTCAATTTGGCACTGGATATGTTTAGCTTTAATAAAAAGCATAGAAATCATTATAGATAAATTTAACAAATATTTCTTAGTTGTAGTCACCGTATTCTACTATGCATGAAATTTCCGAAACAAAATTTCCTCCTAAGCAAATCAACCAACAAAGTCAGTATCAATTCCAACAAAAAATGATCACCGAATACATTTGATAGCAATAATTAGATAGATAGATTAGATAGATAACAAGCACTATTGTATTGCTGTAGTATGATTATCAAATTCGAATCAATATCAATTTGGCACTGGATATGTTAAGCTTTAATAAAAAGCATAGAAATCGTTATAGATAAATTTAGCAAATATTTCTTAGTTATAGTCACCGTATTCTACTATGCATAAAATTTCCTCCTAAGCAAACCAGCCTTACAAAGTCACTGGCAATATCAATTCTAACAAAAAATGATCACCGAATACATTTGATAGCAATAATTCACCTGCTGGACATATGCATTCCGGGGCGTCGCGTTTTGGTCGTTTGGCCACTTCGGCAGCTGCCCTCGCGACCTCCCTCCGTATGCGGCCAAATCGCTCGTGCAGTGGCCCGTGCAGACTCCTCAGCGTCTTCACTTCCTGCTCCAGAGGTGCCAATCTCGATTCCATCCCCCGCACGGACAACACAGAGAACAAACCCGACCCAACACTTAAAACACACACAAAACACAGAATCACATTTGATAAACTTGTCTTCTTACACGTGCTACTACTGTCACCACCACTGACACCGTAGTCTTTGCCCGCCACGGAAGGGGCTGACGTCGCCGTCATATTTAATTTCCCTAAACCACCCTCAATTATAATATAATTTCGTGCGACTCGCCGGCTTACCGGCGTTCTGAGCACACAATTGCCTGTTGCTCGCGATAATAAAATTAGATAAATTAAAACCAAAAATGATCTAAACACGAAGGCTAAAGGGATAATAGTAATATTAGCATAATTTTTCAATGTGCAATTTTGTCATATTTAAATTTTAATGAAAAATTTTGAACTCGACACCGACACTGGTGTCAAAACATGCAATATTGTTCAAAAATCAAACCTTTATATAAAATCTCTTTAACTATGCCTGCACAAACATTTCACTTCGGACACTTGTCCGTCGTCCTTATTCATTTTAATAGCAAACCACATTGCAACATACAAATATTTAGTAAACAGAAAAAGTGGTGGCTTTGGACTAATCAGTAAAGAATGATTTAACTAGCACCTGTCACATGATAATAAAATTTTCACTGAACAATTTTACGAGAAATGTAAACAGGAATAGCACGTGTACACGATACCGACGCAACTTCGAAGTACAGGAACAACTCGCAGGACGAACGTCGCTCGACTAATGCTATCGAGTGGAGCGTGTGCGTTGTACTAACGCGAGAATAGGTTCGGGTTAGCTCGGCCGTCATGCGTTCACGCCCCACTCTCCCCAAACAGGCTTCGGTAGTCCGATAGTGTACCATCGAACCCAAAACGACTTAGGGTGAATGAGTTACCTGTCTTACCTGAGATACCTGGTCGAAGTCCCCGTGAGCGAGCGAGCGAGGACGCTTTATCATTATTTTAGAATTAAATGCATACTTTTACAGATAGGTTTTTTAAACATTCTGCTCGCGAAAAATATAAGGGATAATTGGAAAATGATGTATTATTTCGGATAACTGAGAAAAACCCGCAATTGTAGTTCTTCCTTCCAAGACTCGCCAAACCTAAAAATAAAATTCAAAAAAATATTATATGCAGTCCAAAAAACAATTATGAAAATATAAACTAAGGGACCGATTCTGCCGCAATTTTATGATAAGATCATGTTATGAAGAATTTTCCATAGTAATATAGACAAAAGTTATGCGGTTGGTGTTCAGTCAGGCGAATTTCTCAGGTTTTTTGATGCAAAACATAATCTAAAAGCCGCACAAATGTCAAAAAAACGATGTTAGATAAGTGTGTGTTTCTGATTCCTCTTAGATAACATAAGAGTGACGTTGCAGCTTATGCTTAAAACGCCGGAATGAATAGCAAATACATGATATTTTGACAGCATTCAGTATGATTCATTCGCATAATGTATGGGAGTCGGAGCGTAACATAGCTATGCCGTAACATTTCTCTGTTATGCGCAGAATCGGTCCATAAGAGGCCGATTCCGTTGCAAAATAGGCGAATGTTATAGCAAGGCTATGTTACGCTGCATTTTTTCATATAAAATGGTACTAAAAACTGTCAAAATTTTATGTATTTGCTGTGTTGTCAGGCGTTTTACACATAAAATACAACCTCACTCGTATGTTATTAAACCACATCACAAAGATCCAGTAATGATAACATCGTGTTTTCGACATTTGTGCGTTTTCTATGCTAAATTTTCTATTTAAAACGCCTGACTACACAGCAACCACATAGCAATTGACAGTTTTTAGTACCATTTTGTATGAAAGTATGTGCGTAGCGCTACGTAACATAGCCTTGCCATAACATTAGTCTATTTTACGGCAGATTCGACCTATAAATAAACAAATAAATAGATAAATAAATAATAATTTAAATAAACAAAGCATTGATCCAATATAATTAATTTATCTAACCTAAATCTAGCTTCTGCGTTGCTTAAAAAATAATATCGATCCTTGTAAAATAAAAAAATTCATTGTTTAAAGCCTTCAAACAAATAATTAAAATATAACATTGTATAAACAAGAAACACTGCAAAAAAGTTTTAAAATCAACAAATAGGTTTCCTATCTTTAAACATAAATAATATCAAATTATTATTATTTACTTAAGTAATAGTACTAGTATTAGACTAGTATATATTACAAATAAAAAATTTCAAATTCTGGTCCAAAAATTATTACAATTTTGAATAATAGTTTATTGCAACAAATATTTCATCCCTAACCATATTCACGTGTACGTTTTCCAGGTACACATTACATCATAACCGCAAATAATTAGCAATTAATTGTGAACATTTATAATTACATCTTATTTTCCACATTAATTTCAGACAATTGTAGCGTGTTTGCACGATACAACCGTTACAATTAAGATACAAAACAAAGCTAAATAATTCGAGGTCCGGATTTCTATACCTACAGTACGCTCTAACGGACAAGTTGGTAGTTTCTCACAGACTTTTACCTCGAATCGAATCCACACTACAAGATATAATTTGGTAGGAAAAACAGCTGAATTATATACTATATAAAGAATTATATATTACATATATAGACATGGAATAAATCGCTTCAATCGATTTTATAAACAAATACACATCTACACCTTTGACGATGAGCATATTATTTATACATCAACTTTAGAAAGTATTGAAATAAATATCTTTTAGCAACCAAAGTCCACAAAATTAAAGAAGTACATTGTTAAAAAATAACGAAGTTGTAAAATAACCAAGTATTAAAACCCTTATGTTTATATACTTGTATAAAATTTAAATTTTAATAATATATTTAAGTAATTAAGCGTAATTAAGTTTGAATATGTGGGGTTGTAGTCTAGTAGCAAGCATAATCATAAAGTCCAGGGTTCAAGTCCGCGATTCGGACAACATGATATCAAGTAGAAGTGAAAATATAGATGAAAACATTTATAGTAGAATATCAGAGTAAAATCTTTCATTTGTTGCTGCAATAACTTAAAAAATAAATAATATTAGCAACATAGTTCAGTAGAAATATCACAACCGATTATAGAATTCTCAGTTTTAATTGCCATTCAAAAAAGAAAATTTTCAGATGTATTTCTATAACTACAATCCAATAAATAAATTAGTAGTTATATAACTATCACTCATAATTATTAATAACATGATTAAGTAATTATAACCTTATTTATTTACAAAAATATACAAATATACAACAACATACAAATAGTTAATTAAATAACAATTATAAAATTTAGCGCACATAAAAATAATTATCAGTTCAAGTATTGCTTTATAAACTATATAATTATATATATAGGAACAATTAGCTCTAACAATAAATGCACATCTGTTTTTTAAATACTATCACTAAATTGTGAACATTTCCGAAAACTTCATATGAAGTTAGCTTCTTATATCTAATGAAAAATGATGTTAAAAATCTGCCCATCTCGATCAAGATTATGATGTGCTGCATTCTTATTGTTGTGCAGATTAAGAAAATATTTTCACATCCAAATCAAAACAATAAGTACATCCAAATATAAGGCACATGGTTTACAGAAAAGATTACGATCCAAACATTATATTGGCTATTAACATACAAACAAAGGCATTGTGACAATAATGCAAGCATTAAATGTTACCAAGTAGAATTTTATGGAAATAATGTTAAAAATAGTTTGAAATAATATTAAAAAATAGTTCAATCGCATATAAGATTTGAGAATTGAAATTAAAATGAATGGAAGTAAGAATAGAAGTAATGAAAACATAAGAAGAGGATAGAAGATACAATGATAGATAGTAAAAGAAGAAAAAAAAGAAGAATTAAGGTTACGTTAAAGAGAACATAGAATGAAGAATAGAATAGAATAAAATATAAAATAGAAGGAAGAATAGGATTTATATAAGGAAAATAGTATGAACCTGAAGATTGTATTGAAATTAAAGTATTGTATTGAAATTGAAATATATTGTAGGTGGCTAAATGCTCGAGTAAGCGAGGCCAATAAAAACAAATACAAAAAAAAGGTGAAAATTTAAGTACTAATAATCTAGAATTATGTATCTGAGCTATAAAACCTTTTATACATTTATATAATATAAAATTTAAAGAGGAAATAAGTTGAATAATAGTTTATAATCAATGATTAAACTAAACATACACTGGAAAGAATGGTTCTTTTTTTATGATAGGTTCAGTGTTATACTTTAATTGCTTAGCTTCCCCACTTTTCTTTTTGTCACAGTAGTCAGACTTACCTCCAGTTTTCTTGACTAACTTGATATCAGATATTAACATGTCATGACTGACTGCTTTGCACATATCATAAATGGTTAAAGCTGTAATAGCAACAGCCGTCAAAGCTTCCATTTCAACACCAGTTTTGCCTTCACATTGTACATTTGCAGTAATGACAACAAAATCATCATTAAGTACAGTTTGGACATCCACATGTGAAAGATTTATATTATGGCACAGAGGTATAAGGTCAGAGGTTTTCTTAGAACTCATTACACCCGCAAGTTTGGCAACGGATAACACATCGCCTTTCTTCATTCCATTTTCTTTGATAAGCTGAGCTATTTCTGAACCAACATACACTTTACCTGTTGCTGTTGCATTTCGTTTTGTTACTTGTTTGCCGCTGATGTCCACCATATGTGCCTCTCCTTCGGAATTCACATGTGTTAATGATGAGAATGTCCTAATGTAGTTCTGATGAACCATATTATGGGCAAAAAGATGACTTAAATTTGTGTTTAATGGAGATTGAGGATGAATTCGGTTGATTTTGATATCTGAAAGCAAAATTAACAAAAATTATTAATACAAATCCTTATAATATTGGAAAATGGAATTGCATGTTTATTGGTAAAGAAATCCATTGGCATTCATATGAGATAAGTCAATAAAACTTAAGAAAAAAAAAAATATTAACCAATGCAATATATTAGAACGCAGCTTTTATATGTCCCATACAAAGTACAAGTTACTTTTTTATAAGATTGCAGGATATGATGATCAACGTCTGCATTCCTCTAAATCAAGAGTTTGCAAAATTATTTTGAATCAATAATTCCAAAATACCGCACATGCATTACATGAAGCACACACAAAAAAAAATGAACCAACTACATTTTATTCCGAAATACCTTTTTATATTTAAGTAAAATCAGCCACCAATTAGTATCATAGGACGATTTTCCATAAATGATAGATTCTGCATGCCTAAAAAAAGCAACTCGATAGAGAACATATTGTTAAATGTAACATTCAATCAATAAACCCATTACATGGAACACTACATAAATGCTAATGTATTCTGAAGCTAGTTAAATTGTTATTCAAGATTTTTAAAAGTTCCTACCTGCATGCTGTTTTTTCTTCCTGAATACTGTAGCTCCAATAAGCGCAACTAGATCATCATGTTTTGTTCCAGCACGAATTGCATCTCGTAAGGATACTTCAGCATTTCCAAACAAACAGACCTAAAATTTGTATAAGTTATCAGGTTTTTTTTCTTAAAAAATGTACTTTGGTCTAGTTTACTCTTAGTATCATTTTAAAAAAAATTGAACAAACATGTATTTATAAGCTATTTAAATCAAAACTCGTCAAGGCAACTGAATGACATGTAAAAGCAAAGTGATAAAAGCGAAATGGCATAAGAAATGTTGTGTAAATTACTTCTTACCTTCAAATTGCCATCAGCAGTGACACGCAACCTATTGCATGTTCCACAGAAATGTTCAGACATTGAAGTAATGAATCCAACTTGACCACGAAAGCCTGGTACAGCATAAGCTTTTGAAGTATCATTTGGACTATTTTCAAGAGGTTTGAAATTGCTCCATTTTGACCTGATCATTGACACCAAATCTTTATAAGCAACCATTTTCTCAGTTTTCCACTTATTTCCTGAGAATGGCATGTATTCAATAAATCTAACATCCACATTCCGATCTTCGGTAAACTGTACAAAGTCTAGTACTTCATCAGCATTGAAATCTATAAATGTAAACAGTTCTTATTAACTAAATTATAATATATTGTCTCTCATTTTCATTCATGTCTAATCGTTTCCTCTAAATCAATGTTTTACTTTCCTCAACAACTGCAGTATTAAAAGATAATTTATTTGAAGTTGAGTTTAATGTAACATATTTAATGTTAAGATTAATATTGAAAGTACTTATTAATATTTAATATTGCTTGGGTATTGTATACCAACTAATATATTTGTTATAATAATTGTGTCTGTTATAAGTTAAATCCCATGCTTAGGGCAAATCAAATAGTATGTTCAAAATTCTTTAAAATGTATTATATTACTCTTATCAGCCGAGTAGATATTTTCATTACGTAAGTGTATATTTTTTGTATCAACATTTAAATAATTTCTTTATACATGCAGTTTATTTTCACATATGCAAAAAATATAGGCAATTTTTTAAGGATTGAAGAAAAATATCCTTACCTTTCATAACAACACAGTTAACTTTAGGTTTGTATCCTAATTGTATGGCCAAATCAATTCCAGCAATGACACGTTCCCAACCTTTACGTCTTGTTATTAATTCATACTTTTGTGGTTTTAAAGTATCCAAGCTAATATTAAGCAAGTCTAAACCAGCACGCTGCAAAGGAACAAGCTGTCTAGTCAACATCAGGCCGTTTGTTGTGATGGCTACAGTTTTAAGACCAGGAATTTTCTTAAGATTTTCTAAAATAGACAAGTGAATATGTAAATATATACATACACACATACATATATATATATATATATATATATATATATATATATATATATGTGTGTGTTATATATGTTCCAAAAAAGTAGTGTGTTATGCAAATCTGTGTTATACGGGGCAAAGAACTAGTACAAATAGAGGGGTTATGTTCCACGAATTCAAAAAAACATGCTACATATCATGATATTATAATGAATATTGTTATATTAATTAATTTTTTTCAAGAAGTAATATACATTACATCAATTATGATTTTTTTCATCATAATTAAATGGTATGTGCTATCAAACACGATCCTTTTTTTGCAAGATATTCTCATCCTCTTATCAGTTTTCTGTACTACCTCCAGATCCGTGCATCATTTTTTTCAAATACAATTATATTTGCAATTAGGGGCCGTTCAAGTATTACATAAGCACTATAGGGGGGCGGGGGGGTTGTTGAATTGCTTATTTTGGGTTGACATGGGGGGGGCAGGGGAGCCTGGATGATGATTACGTCATAGGTAGTATTTTTATTTTTTTACATTAATTGCAAAATGTTCACATAAGAATGAATGTAGGGGGTAAGAGTTTTGCTTACTTTTGCTGACAAGGGGGATGGGGGGGTAAATAATTGTAATAAAGCTGCTTACGTAATACTTGAACGATCCCTTACTTGCTTTTAGCAAAAAGATATTTATATATTTACCACATGCAAAATTACCTGTATTAAAATTTTGTGCTCATTTTATTTAAAGGACTTGTGCTTAAGACTAATTGACTAATTGTTCGGATAAGGCTAGATTTTTTTTCTACAGAACGTACGCGCTCGAATAATAGGTTTCAAATTAGTTATGTTTTGAATTAGTTTCAACACATTTATTGAGCTATGGTACTGCGATTTTACTAATTTTAGAATAAAAAAAGTTTGATTTTCATATATTTTATTATAGTTTTTATTTTAGTAGGGTTCTGCTCAATTCTCAAACCTTGTTAGAGCAAACCTGTGCTTTAAAAGTACCTTGTTATAAGGGAGTATTGTGTTATGGGAGTGTTACCTGTATATATATATACACATGTATGTATAATTTTATTTACCAACAATATGTAGCAAATCCTTTCGCACTGTAGGTTCTCCTCCTGTCAACCGTATTTTATCAACACCTTGTTCAACAAATAACTTTGCAATATACAATACTTCGTCTGTTGATAATAATTGGTCCTTAGCAGATAATTGAACGCCTTCGGCTGGCATGCAATATTTACCTAGTGATGAATAAACACACATCAGTAGACAAAAACTTTACAGATACTTTAAGTCATTCATTAATATCAGATTAAAAAAACTATACATATAAACACGACAAATATACAAAAATAAATTAAAATAATATTTTTGATTCTAGTATACAGAGTTTTGATATACAGGTATAAGTATACGAAAATATAGACAGTGTTAAATGATTTTCTGAATAAGTTATAAATAGAATATAATTACTAAATAAAATGTTTCTACTCACACCTTAGATTACATCTTTCAGTTAACGAGATCCTTAAATAATTGTGTCTTCTGTTAAAACTATCAACAAGAGGATCTAACCTTTTCGTACCAAAACGAACCTGAAAATTTGACATTTGACAGTTGTTATTATTGCAAAAAACAAACATGAAGTGCGAGCTAAATGCCAACTTCAGCATTTAAAAAAAGATGGATGGTCTCGAAATGTTTTTTTTATTTATCTATGGTCTCGAAATTATCGATATTTTATCAAAAATAGATATTGGAAAAATTGTCAAAATAATTAATTTTCAAAGGAGTAATAAATCAAAATCAGTGATTTTTATGCTTTTTATTATTAAATAATTGTGATAACCGTAAATTGTTTAGAAAATAGCTAATTTATAAACCATGTATTTTGACACTTTGTATTTTTGACCATTAATTTGAAAGTAATTCTCATAAAATTAAGTTAAAATTTTTAAATATTACTTAAACTTTTTAAATATACATGCAAAACTGCACATTTTAGAACAAATATATAAAAATGTTTAATTTAATTTACATATATGTGTATCCATATATTTTTATCTATTATATAAATACACCGCCAATCCAAGGTTCGGTTGCACAACAAAATTGTATATACAAATTCTTCATGCCAATAGTGTTAGAAAAAAATATTCATATGGCCTTAAAAAATATATATGAGTAAGTAAGACACATGTAAACATTGGAGTTGATTACATATGTTTAAATCCGCCTAGTTACAAAACTGAATCATAAAGTATTTTGAAATCGCTGTATGTATGACCTTTGTGAAAAAATGCTAATAACTCAAATATCTTAATTGTCAATACATATTAATTACTACACGAAATAAAAACTTAAATAAAATTTTAATTTTTTAAAATGCAACTGATAATTTCATAATGTTTTCATAGGAAATATATTTAATTTATTGTCTGATTAATAAAAATTATTTACTTCATTTATCACTTATTTATACCAACCGTTACTTCATTTATCATGGTACTTACGCTTGTGGACAGATATCTCGTTATCATTTCAGGTTGCAAGTTATTAATAAAACTCAACGGTCTCAACATGTTTGATTAAATAAGAACTATTAATAATTTAGTATTATTTACATTGAACAAATTTAAAAATACGTCTACGTAGCGCACGTGTCGGTTTCTTCCGACAAACTGTATACATATTAACATTCGTGCATCTTGTGAATAACAGTGATAAGCGAAAGTTTCTACGAAAAAAAACAGGTTCTATCATATTACGCATATCATTAGATACAAGGATATATTAATAATTCAACGATCGATGCCGTACAAAATATGTCCACTAGATGTCAACGATATTTTCGATATAACGATTTATATTTGTAACCAGACTAGTGGTGCATGGCATCGAGCCTTAAGGCAAATTGCTGGTACTTCTCGTAGGTACCGCTATTTGAAATTTTTCAAAGCCTTAAATATGAGATATTTGAGAATTTCGATTTTTTAAAAAATTACGTTCTTGAAAATTTTGTTTTTTTTTTAATTTTTTTTTTTGTATTAATTTTTTTTATTATTAACTTGCCGTAGGGTAAGTTATAGTAATCGCAAAAAAATCTAAAATATTTTTTTTTATATATCTTTATGTTTCAAAGGTTTCTGAATATTTGACATACTTTAAAAAAAATGGATGTATGTGTCTGCGGATACAAATTTCCGTCGACGATTTCGGGAACACGGATCAACCGATTTGAATAATTCAAAAACATTCGATTGTATTGATAAGGAGACGTGCTGATTAGTTTTTGACAAAGGCAGGTATATTTTTTTTAAAGCAATCGCGCTTCGGAGCTATTTTAGAATGAAAACATCGAAGTCACCATGTAACGCAGTGGTTTCCAAACTTATTTGCACCGCGACCGCTTGCTTTAATAAAAAAATTATTGCGTCTCCCTTAATTTTTATAACAATTTAATTTTATAAATACTGAACCGATATTATGAAACTACAAATTAATATGCAATATTATGTAACAATATGCCTAAAAACTAATTATTTTTGTTTATTTTTTAACATCAGTTCAAAATTTTTTGGGTTATTTTCGAAAATAGTATTCTAGAAACAGATGTAAGCGCCCCTCTGAGAGTGGCGCGCCCCACAGGTTGGAAACCACTGATCTAACGGTTAAGCATTGGTACGGAACACATAGAAATGTTTAATAAGCAAAATTTGTACTTATCAAAATCTTTATAAAATATCTGATAATTTAATGTGCATATGTCTAATGATCATTTTTGTCCGCTGAATGGCATGTTTTTACTTTTTTCATTGAATCTCCGAAATCGCTAGACCTGCCTTCTCAAAATGTAATCAGCTTTTCATTTTGTCACTACAAATAAAATGCTTTACGAATCATTCAAATTGGACGCTATCTGTTATCTCAAAAATTGAAAAACATTTTGGTACTATTTGCCCGTATCTTCGAAACTGCTGGACCTGCCTTTGCCAAAAGCTAATCAGAAAGTCTCCTCATCAATACGAATCGAATGTTTTTATAATTATCCAAATCGGTTGATCCGTGTTAACGAAATCGTCAACGAAAATTTGTTTCCGTACATACATGCAAGCACACACGCATACATACACATGCATCCATTTTTATAAAGTTTGTCAAAATGTTCAGAAACTTTTGAAACGTAAAGATAAATAAAAAAAATTATCCTATGGGAAGTAATAAAGCCCCATTAAGACGATAATGTTTAATACGATTACTTTCAAACATGTTATTTCTATCTCGTATAATACGCATTCTCGCTTAAGAGGCATTTTTGGTTCGGTCCGGTACTATATAGTATAACATGCCATTATAAGAAATATGTTTATTCACATATGTACATTAATGTAAAATTAGCAAAAATTACATTGCTGAATAAATAATTGTATTACTATTTTGTAATCATATAACTAACAAATAAGTTTTGAATTTTAGGTAGAAATTATCCTTTCTATAAATTCATAATGGTTATGTATACGTATTTCTTATTCATTAAACTAGAAGAATTAATTTAATGGCAAAATTTTTAAATATAACTTACATAAAAGACATTTAAGACCACATATTTTACTTATTCTAATGGCTGAATATTTTACTTATTCTAATATATAAAAATAATTATATGAATTAACTTAAGGGTAGATAATTTACCCGGATAACGAGACACAGACAATAAATTATTTAAAATATATGATGTCTAATTTCATTATATAAAAAGTCTGTGATAAACTACTCTGGTCAGCATCCAGCTTTATTTATTTTTAACGAAATAAAAAAAAATCGTTTATAAAACTATAATAATCAAGTTTAGTCATATTATTCCCTTTAAGTGTGTAATAAGGGGATAATAGTCATACTTGATAATCTTATTCTGATCTCTTCCAAATATATTAAACACTAGTATTGCCCTGTTTCTCACTTTACGTGCAATAATTTTTCCGTTTTATCCTCTTATTATGCTTTCGTTTCAATTTTGCAATATAAACTACTATAAGAAGTAATACAACTCCTATGAGAGCCATAAAAACCCAAGGCCAAATTACTGTTTGAATTAGTTTCACTATCTTTACTTCTTCAGTATATCGAGTTTCCTTTCAATTTTGGGACGTGATGTTGTCATATTTCTGGCATCATTTGTTGACAAATATTTTATTTCAATTGTGTCGGAGTTTCTGTTGTTGTAGTAGGAGGAGGCGTTACTTGTTCGCTCATAGAATAATTAGCTAAATAGTCATCAAGTGGAGCATAAAATTTCGTTAAAGCTTCTTGATTCAATGTCGTAAATATAAAACAAGTTCATCAAAAGGTCGCTCCTTCTTGTGTTAAGCCAGATCGCATTAATTCACTGTAACAGTTGTAAAATTTAGGTAATACATAATATTTATGAAAGCAAATTTGTGTAAAAAAATGCGTATTTCATACTTAAGTTTAGTATCTTGTGCGATATGTTTGTCAACGTCAACGCCTTCAGGAGCCTCTCAATCAATTCAGCAAACAATTGAAAGGCCAATATCACTCCATAAAATTCCTGTAAAAATAATAATTGAAACAACAAAGTTCATAAAAATTGTGAGTTATAGCATGATAAGTTTAACTTCAACTAAATCACATGTGATCGTTTCTGGTTACTTACGCTAAATATGGTTTATTTTCCCAGTACATAAGGATCCCTATAAATTTCGCCTTCGTACGACTCGATCAAAGTGTACTCTTGTCTGATCTCTTTCCAAAGATTAATTTTTTCCTGGACTTATATTCTGAAATATCTTCAGCACTTTCATCTGGATCTAAGAGCCGAAGTCTCCAAGTGTCCACAGCAAGATAATACGGAATTTTAGGCAACGTTCTCAGAGCGTGGAGCAAAAGAATGACCAATTTATCTTGTTCATCATGAACCTTGATTAGAGAATCCAGATGGTGTGTATTAGTGCCAGAAGAAACCAAGAATGGGAACAGCTTCTATTGTACCTAAAATTATTGAAAGCATTAAAATTTATATATTTCAATGATAAATTTATGCCAAGTTATTTACCAGAATAACGACTGCCATATCTCAGCAGATACGAAGAATGGTACATTTCATCTCCAGAACTTTTTTTTGCATCACGCTCATGAATGTTTCATGGGCGTCCAAAAAGTTTTGCCATGTCGCATTCTTACAAGTAATCACTCTATAAATAAAATGAAATATAGCATATGATTTATTAATTATATCCATACTATGAAACTTACATTGT